GCTACCGCCGATGTGACCGAACTGCACGTGCTCGATGCGTTCCTCGCAGATGCCGCACGCAAGGTGAGGCTGATGAGGTATACGGCAGTGTATAATGTCATTTTGTAGTACGCTGCTTCAAGCGCATCCAAAGAATCAGCGTTCGCAGTGTATTGGCCTTTAAAAGAACTACCCTCTACCTCATGCCACTTTGAGTAACAGACTTTGGAAACAACAGCTCCGCTGTGAATGTTAACGGAGCCCCTCCACCATAAGCCAGATGCTGTAAGGGCCGTGATAAGTCAGTTACATCAAGTGAGGGATGACTGTCACTGAACAGGTGGAACAAATCTAAGCAGTGCATGTGAAGTAAACATGGCCGGTTATAATTATGAAAGCGTTACAATTCAAGCTTAAGATGTTGTCAAGCCGGACAACCTCCACGTGGTGTCAGTTGTGTGGTTCTGGTTAATCTCGTTCCAGCGAATAGTTCGGCGGCAGTGCTTCAGGACGGGATGGGTTTTGTCTGACAAGCGTTCTCCTACAAAAAGCTACAAAGGTCCGTTTGACAACCCTGTGACATGGCGGATGTGACTCGTCACTAAATAAAAGCACTGGCTCGCCCCTTTCCAGATGATCTTTCCCACATCACAAACGTCATCCAGTACGAAGAGTTCCTTTGATCCCTTCATATGATGGCGAACAAAATCACGAATTCAGAGTCCCATTAAGCAATTCACTCACCATGCCTACTTACACATAGGCCACGGTAACTTACACAGATCAATGTGGATTCTGTGCGGGTCGCAGCACCATCGATACGTTGTTTGGGGCTCGTCAGTCGCAGGAAAAGTGTAGGGAACGACTCGCTTGCTATAGATTTCACCGCGGCTGATGTTGGATAAGTGGTTGTGCGAGTAAATTTGTAAATTTAATTGAGTGTCTGCACAGTGGTATGCGGGCGAGGGTGCAGCTGAGTGGAGAGACCTCGGGTGATTTTGCAGTTTTCTCTGGTGTGAAACAATACGGTGTCTTAGCTCCTGCCCTGTTTAATATATATCTTCATGCAATGATGTCTTGTGCTTTTGATGCCGCTTGTGCTTACGGTGTTCGCGTGGAGCACCGTATTGATGGTGGGTTGCTGAACATCCGTTGTTTCGGTGCGAGAACCCTAGTCTGTGAGACAACTATCCGTATGTTGCTGTTTGCTGACGACTGTGCGTTGTTTGCACACAGCGCGGATGAGTTGCAGCACACGACTAGTGTTCTGGCTTCGACGGCGGCCAAATTCGGACTCACCATCAACACAAGCAAAACTGTCTAGCTCTTTCAGCCTTCACCGGAGGTGCAATCTTCAATATTGTCGCGAAGCAACATTGGTGTTGAAGTATTGGAAACCACCTCCCGCTTCTGGTACCTTGGGAGTGTGATGTCGACTGACCAGCAGCTACACAGTGAGCTGCGTATCCGCGTGTCGAAGGCAGCGGCGGAATTCGGGAAGCTAGAGTACCGAGTGTGGAACAACCATCAGCTTACCATTGACACGAAGCTGATGGTGTACAAACCCATGGTGCTGTCCGTTCTTCTATACGACAATGAAACGTGGACGATGTACCGGCGGGATGTGCGATACCTCGAGCGGTTCAGTCAACAGTGTTTGCGACGGATTCAGCGCATTAGTTTGTGCGACAGAGTTACAGACACGGAAGTGTTGCGTCGAAGTGGAATGTATGCAGTGGACTGCATAATTTTGCTGAGACACTTGAGATGGCCCGGTCACGTGAGCCGTATGGATTCGACGCGGATACCGAAGCAGCTATTATATGGTCAGCTGAGTGTGGGGAAGCGGCATGTGGTAAAACCGAAGATTCGTTATCAGGACATGATCAAAGTGAGTCTCTCACGTTCTAATCTTAATTGCAAGTCATGGGAATCGGAGGCGGTTGATCGGGTGCATGGCGCGATCTAATCACGAAGGCAGTTGCCGAGGTGCAGGAAAAGACCCTCATGTATGCGAAAAATCGGCAAGTGCGAAAGCGTCAGGCGCTGATGGGTTGTAGTCCATCGGCATCGAGCACATTGTACTGCAGTACATGCAGTCGCGAGTGCCTGAGTCAGGCAAGCTTAGTGAGCCACGAGCGAGGTCACTCGCGGCCAGCATCGAAACGACGACGGGTCCTGCTGAGAACGTAGGCAGAACCGGCGAAGCGTCGGTAGGTACGCTGCATTCTATTTACTAACCATGTGCTTGCATGATTCTCTCTATTTCAGGTGGTGGGTTTGCTATACTGTCCTAATGCTTTCTTTTATGTCAGATTAATACCCATCTGAACTATCTTCCATCAACTTGCACACTTCGCTCAAGGTAATGGTAGTTTACTTCGATAAGATTTTCGGGTTTATGTCATTTTCTTAAAATATACTTTCGGAAGTGACCCTTTGGCGGATATTTTGGCAAGCAAATTATTTCATATACTTATTTAGTGTGGAGTTATGTCACAACAGATAGATGCATTATTCGATTCACCTTATTTGATATCATCGTTTCAATTGATTGGCTGTTGCTTGATATCCCCGGTGTGACTGCGCTTGATGTGCATTTAGAGTAGGTGCCTACCTGTCCACTAACCACTGGCTTGTCCATACTGGCTTCAGCAGACAGTCGGTCATTGCTGGAGGGGAAGGGGTGCACGGTCCTTGTGGCCGTGCTAGACTCGAAGAGTGGTTCCATGCGCTCAGTGTGGAACGGACTACGGTCCACCCACCGCATTGTGTGCGCTTGCTTCCCAAATACAGCGTGCTTGTGTTCGCCTGCGAAGGAGTGTGAGTCGGTTCCGCTGATGAAACGTGTCTCCCAGTCTTATTCCTCCGGGTTTACACTGGATATGGGTGTGGTTGGAGCTGTGCGTGGTGCAGCGCAAGCCACCCATGGTCCCTCTGTAGGCGCAGGCGTCCTGTGGCTGGCCACAGTGACAGGTAAATCCGAAACCGTATAAACTAAAGGAGTGTCAAGGAATTTTCCAAGCGGAATAAAAGTACAGTCGTAAGAATTTGGGAAGCAATCGGGTGTAGCTCTAATAGACACACACTTGTTAGCCATATTAGGCACACACTCGTCCTTCTACGCACTTCCACTGGCTGGCTGTTTGTTTGATTGAAAACAGTTAACAAAACTCCAACGAATAAAAGCATTTTTTGTGGACGCGGTTCAGCAATCTGTAATCAGGCACAATGGCAACTGCGCATTCTGTATCCCAGATGTTCTCGTTTGTCACTTAAATATTGGATTTTGCGACACACTGGGTTAACTCAGCTTCTAAGCATGTAACCTAAACTAAAGCGGGATGGGAAGGAAGTACTAGCACCGATAACCTTCTACCCCATAGTTCAAAGCCGGGCGCATTATATTTCGATAATGTCCATCCGCCAAGACCGCGAGGGAACAGATGCCGCAATGGTTGCCCTTTCGGGAACTGAAACCAACAAAGGAACTCGTACCTCGCAGTGGTTCTCGGTAAAATAGCGCTGAGCGGCTTCTCCAACGCAGTCAAATGCGGCTGCCATGAGAAAGGTTAAAATACAAGTTTTAATCGAACTCCCCAGAACACTGCAATAGCACAGTAGTACTGCTAGCAAGTCTGTCAATAGCAGACCGGTTGGGAAGTAGCAAACATATTCACAGATCAAAGTAGGGTAACTGGTTATAAGGTGTGCCCAAGTAAAGAAGTAATGTGTCATCTGTACGACGTAACGGCGCTTCGCTGCCGCGCGACCACCACCAGTCGTACGCGGGCTGAGTATACCGCTAGGAAGTCCGCCTCTAAGCGGATCCGAACCGGTGACCTTATGGTCGCAAGCCCGACGAGAAGATTACTCAGCCACCGGCCGACGTCGAGTGAGAAATAACGCCAATAGACAGAAGTCGCAACAAGTACAATCGAAATCGAGTACAAACAGGATGTGCAATCGGAAGTCATTAGCGCGTGTTGTTTCGTTTAAAAGATGGTAACACGGAAAATGCAACGGTGACATGAACAGTGCGACCGAGAGCCATGCACTAAGAACGGGAGCAGTACAAGTTATATGGGTGAACACTGATAGGACAGAGTGCACAAAAACCAACGAAAAACAGGCTGGCTGGTCAAATTCACCAAGATTCCCCTACCCAAGAAAGACTACTTCCACCCATATAGCGCAAAAGCAGGCAATTAGCCATACTCAGTGTTAAGGGAGTCCGCTCACAGACGCCATTCCAGAACGTTTCCATGCCTGTAGCCTGGGCAGAAGATCATCATCGTCATCATCAACAGCTGTGCATCAGCCACTTGAACTGATGCCTCGCTGCCATACAACCACTACAACTTACGGAACAAAGAACAATAAGAGGGAGAGAAGGGGAACCTACGGTAAAACTTTAATGACTTAAAGAAACACCCTGTTTCAAGGTGCCTACACCTTGTCAACAACATACCGTGCAAAGATAAAGCTGCATCGGCGAGATCCCGCGTCATAATTAATCACTATCCCGTAGATAAGTCAGTACAAAACGCACTTTAAACAGACAGTCCGACTAGTAGACGGCAGCAGACGCGCCACTGATGTCGACTGCGAGCCATGTCCTGCAACATCTCGAGCCAAGCACAAGGTGAGCCGCGTGGACTCCAGCCAGGAAGGTGAGACGGATCGACGGCACCGAGCTGGGTCGTCAGTGAGTTCATTTTTCATTGCCAAGTCAAGCTTTGTCCACCTCGAGTCTTGTGCCACCCTACATCTGGTAAACAAGGTCCTTCTCGGTAAGCAGTGTGCACGCATACGTAGTCCGTGTCAAAGCCAACGCAACTTATTCAGTGCTGTGTGTTGTTCCAATGCGGAAGATCGGATCAGTCCAGCTCAGAGCCAGCCAACAGCAGCAATGCCGGACTCAAGGTGACCAATCGGAGCTTTAACCGGTTTGTTGGTACTTTCTAGTAGCACAGAATCTACTTCTAGGTCAATGCTATTAAGCAATACAACAGAGCCACTTTGACTATTAATAACGCTGTATTTTCCCAGCCCAATTAAGGGCATTTTCGAAGCCATCGGTTTCTGATTCGGGAAGTCGCTTACACTGAAGTTCGAATAAACGTATCCGTTATTCGTGATGTCAGCAGGAATATAACACAGTGCACTGGAAAAACAGCTTCAGGCCTCAAACGAATTCGAGGCACGAAAAGTGAGTAGGCATTAAGACAGTTAAAGAATATTGAGAGAAGCGAAGCGACGTCATAAGCGAAAAGAGTAGAAAGATAAGGCCAGTCGCTTAAGCTCTCCTGGGTGGAGTGTGATTCAAAAATGGGTGTGGGCGCGTCCATTCTTTCTACCGCGAATAAGAAGCATATGCAATATGCACCCAAAAAAATTTTCTGAACAGCTCACAATATTTATCTCCGCTCTTCAAGATGGTATGAGACAGACATGCATCTGAGGCGAGGTGTGAGACAAACACACCTAAGTACAAATCACACATAAGAACCAGTGTCGGAAACTAATCGACACCCAACGATCTTAAAAACACTGAGCTCATGCCCTCATAGGCAACTGTGTACACATGAGCAGGCAAGCTTCAAGAAGCAGAAAAATCGATGTATACCGAAGCCTGCCTTGCTTGAAACCGTTTACATGGGCAACCAGTTGACTTCGAGTAACAGAGTGAGCGTATCGGAAAAGAAGAGTGTGCACGGACTGATAATATGAGAACCCCAAAGTGATTTGTGAAGGGCAGAAGGATAAGCATATTCTTAAGGAAAATATGCAGCCGCACACTCTCACGAACCGTTGATCAAAAACAGTAGGTAAAATGTGTGCATGCAATGCGCAGCAAAATTGAACGACTGAGAGACAAAAGCGTCCACACAGAAGAATAAGTGTACGCCAATTATCCGCGAGCGATCGTCGACAATAAGAGTAAGAGCTGCACCCGTGTGTGTGAAAGAAAACTGGTGCGGTAATTGTGATAAGGAGCTGGTTGTGTAGCACTAAACGAGGCGCGTGGTGGGTTCAAGACGCTCAGCAAATGTCGGTGGTTGATGAATCACGTCTGCGAATAGGGCAGCGGTGATCATGAGGAGCTGGAAGTTCCGGCAGCATCATCGATCCCAGTAGTTTGCACATCTTCCATACAAGAAGTGTCTCTGCCATTCAAATCCTTCCGGCAGATAGGGCAGGTAGCATGCTACAAGGAGGAAAAAAGGACAAAAATGCAATACGGCACATGACTTCTTAAATGACACAAATAAACCGGCGAATTGAAGAAAAAACTGTAACTAAAGATGTGCATGATGGAGGGACGTGCGAACCACAAATATGAGATAAGAATGGAGGAAAATGACACAGCCGGAAGGTTTAGTTTGTGAGAGGAGTGTCCGGATGCACCACAAGGAAAACAGTGGGTGCGGTGGCGGGAAATCCGAATGTGAAGACACGGTGCGACCGAGGATGTGCACAGTTGAAGAGGTGCAGTTTCGAGGGAAACAACCGTGAAAGATAAGAGCATAGTCGGATGTACAACATGGAATTAGCACCAACACAACCACTTGGAGAACAGAGCATAGAACTTGAGCCACATAAAGACTACGAGCTGTGAGACCTCATCAGACTAAAGTTAGCGAAAGCGAGACGCCAGAACCCAACAAAAGGAATAGTTTCAGAAGGCTTTAAGGGAAAATTGGCACTGTCTTCTAAAGCTTTCTGAAATCAAGAATCTGATCGGCTCAAAGCTTATTTCAAAATGTTAAATTAAAATACAGTGAAATGTGTCAACGCGGAAACGGACAATGTTTCAACGATAATCAGCTCTATGAGCGTTACGTGAGCTCAACGAGGTGACAGCCAAATACGGCATTTGCGGCGCCATGTGACTACATTCACATGTCCATCTGCGTTGCGATCGAAGACTGCGAGTAATCGACATCGACGTAGTGTAATTAGACATCCAGGTCACGCAGTAGATTGGTTTGACGGTCAGTGTGAGTGTGTTAGAGTACTAAGCATTCGCATAGCACGGCCAGAGTACATCAGGGAGCTTACGAACAGCGACTTCCAACACAGTGAGTTTGTGCTCTCCGGCCCACACGAGATAAGTGCTGGTTCGAAAAGAGCATTGGGCAGAATTAATTACTAAGTCCATATCAGGGTAGTTCACAACTACGATGCCCGTACGAGAGCGCAGATAATCAAGCTAGGATTCTGCACCGCCATAGCAACAGAGGCTTATTACTCCAAATGAAAAAGTTCACTGTAGCAGAAGTGTCGAAACAAATAGGCACCAGTTAGGATAAGACAGTATCGGAAGAGCTTGGTTCATTAGATTTGGCGTGTACTCCAGTCCATCAACCATGGCGTACATATCGAGGTGCCTTAAATGAAGTTGAACAGACTCGGGTGGAAGAAGGAGAGACATACCATCGTTAAACGGAAATGGATCAAGTGCTAGGATCAAATTAGTGACAAGAGAAGCAAGTTGCGAGATGACGTTGCCATTTTCTGCAGTCTCATCAATCAAATACGTGTAGAAAATGATGGAAGCAAGGGGAAGAGGTCATGTGATATCGATTTGTGGCCCATTACTGCACTTGCGCTAGTTCCGTAAATGCAAGATCACCGCCAGTTGTATTGGCACGTAGAGCAGTCTGGATCAACAAAAATGCACTCGTTGTAGCCTGATAATGTGAGGCTTCTGATTGTGCGTGAGGACCGTGGATGATTCGCCGAGATTGATCTGACGATCGGTGTTCAGTAAATGCTACTGAACTGCCGAAGCAAACTGCATCCCGAATAACCTGGTTCCACAACCGGAAACTCCATTAGTTGTCTGCCGATGAATGATGGAATTAAACACCTGGCTTGCAATCCTTAGGTCACTGGTTTGAATCCGCGTCGGGGCGGACGTCCTCGCGATATACTCAACCCACGCGTGACCGGTGGTGAACGCGTGGCAGCAAAGCGTCGGTACAGTGTCCCGGCGGACTGCTGATGAGTTTTTCGACACCATTAGTTTCTGTAACGACTGGCATTTCCGTCGATTCGGACGACCAGAATTTGAGCAACGCGCCCAATGTAACGATAATCACAGCTAAAGCTGAAGTTATAAATAGAATAAAGCGGCCACTGTTTTGACGTCGGGGCATCCAGTGAACACCGGAGTAGGTGTCTTGTCGACATGAGCAAGTGTAGTTCCGCTGTATCGTATACATGTTTCGATAAGGTGCATGTATGTTACCCGATGGCTTTCATGATGGGGTAACATGCGTCTTCCGTTCTCTCATTTGGGGAGCGAAAGATGTATCGCTTCAAGTGGCAGCATCGTCAAATTAAGGGACTACAAGTTGGAAGCAGCATCGTCATCCATCAATCACGTAAGCAGCCAAGATCGGGAAGGCGAATCGGAGATATGCAAGCAATGGCGAGAAAGCAAAAGTATCGTCAATCTGATTCATTGTCAAATTTCGATATGATTGCTCGCGTGATGTGCCTATACAGTAATGGGGTTCGCCCTGCCTAGAGTAGGATTCTCAGACCCCTCATACAACAAGTATTCGGGCGGCAACCGAAAGGATTGCTTGTTTGCTTTGTACTTCTGAAGTCTCTGGTTCGAATCCGCATAAGTGTGGCCGATTTCGCGGTATATTTAGCTCTCGAGCGACGTGGTGGTTTCGTGACAGCGAAGCGTCGGTAGGGTGTGCCAGTGTACTGCTGATGTTTTTACGCTTCTTATCAATCAACAAGTAGCGTTTAACGCCCAAAGTTATACAGCTTCACAAGTAAGTGAACAGCCTTCAAGCACAGTTTGTAGACGCAATGAAAGCTTCAAATAACCTTCTAATGGATTAGAAAATTTTGATGATCCGGTAGGTATGATGAAATGGCCAGAAGGCGGTGTATCTTAATCCGCTGGAAAAAGCGGTAACCACACGATAAACCTCATTGTTTGCATATCAGTCTATCAACAACGATCCAGGTGTCCAAGAGCGATAGACTTAGTTTCTGCTATACGAAGTATAATACTACTACAACAATATGGGGGAATGAAGGTCATAATAAGGAAACTGGCAGAAAAGTGATGTGACCATTAAACGGAAGAGTCTCAAGGTAGAAAAGCCTATGCACATATGGGACAATGGGATTCGGCTTCGAGATTGATGTCGTCGGTTCCTTGAAACCCCGGCTAGAAAGAAATGACGTAGTAATGCGATTTAGATAATCGGTGCTTACATGTGTACTTCTTTGAGAATAAGCATCTGGAAATCTTGGGGCTCACAAGGAAAAGTGTAGTATGAGGAAATGACATACGTCAAATTAGGCGGTAGGCGGAAGTGTTATAATCAGTGTGTGCGGCTTCAAGCCAACAGATGAGCAAGTGTAACGTAAATCTGCTCCAAACGTCTGCTGAATGAAGACAACAGTGGTTATCCAATTGTTCATCCAGGTAGAGGAAACGGCTCGTAGTTGTACCCAAAAACAAGTAACCGTGTATTGCCGATGCGAACTGCACATGTTTATGATGCATAGAACCTCGAGGTTCGCATTGCAATGTTACGCAGACGGTTTAAGGCTGTTAACAGGGTATATACAGTTATAAAATAAGTGGATAGCGCCGTCCTGGTCGTAGTTTGGTCGTGTCCTCGTCAGACCAGTTTACCTCATTCTTTACATTGTTAAAATCGTTTTATGCTATAAATGTTTGTGTAATTCATTCACATTGGTGATTTGGAATTACTTCATCATAAATACGCGTAACGGTTTATTATATTCTCTGTGATTCTAAATTAGGCTGATTTAGTCGTATCGAACGGTACCTAATTGTGAAATGGTAAAGCAGACACCTTGTGGTACTTGCTCCAAAGTCCATGGGCATCGCGCAAATGCGATTACAAGCAGTTGATGTTTCAAATTTTGTGTATTGGTCTGTCAGTGGACTAAGATCGAGTAATTCTAGGCATTCAGCACGACTTTTTGTAGACCATTTGTAAGCAATGTCAGTCTAAGCTTGAACAGAATGGAGCCGAAAAGCCTGACAAGCGAATCAGTGGAGCAGTGCGCTGAAACGCGCAGCTCGATTTATCTTGCACCACAAGCAGATAAACAGCCAACACCTAAAACGGCAGCGAATGTATCCCTGGAGCAAATTGCTAGCGCTCCGGCAACCTCGGGTTCAACATATACGACTTTTTTAGTTGACACTGAAGCTCCAATTTACAATAAACCAAGTGGTGATAAGGAATGGAAAATGCAAATACCAAAGAAACTAGGAAACGTGTCCAGCGACCTGAGGCGCCGCAGCTTCACTAGTAGTAATATTCAACACCTGACCAATATACAATTGGCAGTGCCAGAACACATAGTTAACAACAACAACAACAACAACGGCTAAAAAGGGGAAAACAGGTAGACAGCGGAAAATTTCTGGTAGTTTTAGAAGGCTAATGTGTTGTGTAGGCAGACATCGTCCCGGTTGTCCAGGCCGATGAAGAGGGTTTACTTAAGGGACCCCACCTCGAACTTTTGGTCATAAAGACCCGACTCGCAAGGCAGCGGGACGATTAACAGAGACCGTTGACATCCGGGTAGCTCATTCGCCTTCTTTGTGTTTAGTAGCAGTACACAGAGAAGCCGGTGGCTAACGGTTGTTCATCAGCTCTCCGGTAGGTACTGACCCTCTGGTTACAGAAGTGAGTGGTCAGTGACCCTATAGCCGGTCACAATGGCTTTGACACAGCGCCGTACGAGCTTTTGTGGTATTTGAAGAACCAGGTGAGCAGCCCAGAACTCCACACGTAGCCTCATGGTCTTTCAAGCACCTGAATCCTGTGATTCAAAACCTCAGGTGCGCAATGAATATAACGTTGTTTTTGCAAACTCTGATGGATAGACTGCTCAAGTTGGATGAGGACGGGATGAAAATAAAACAGATCGTTTGTCTCGGAAAAAGAACCGAGGATAAGAGTCGACCTATGAGGGTGACTTTAGTTGAAGCGTTAAGTCCTAAGTTAACATTGTCCTGTCTTACTAGGCTGAAAGGTCTAAAGATCCACGTGCGCGCTGACTTAGACTCAGCAAACAGAGAAACTCGAGTCTGCAATGACTGAATTAAAGCGACGCACGGACGATGGAGAAACAAATCTCCGTATTGCAAATTTTCGGGTAGTCACTCGGATTCCTCCGCGAATCCGGATC